TTTTAAGATTGCCTGAGGCTGGGCTCGGTGGCTCAACCTATAATCCCAGCACTTTGGGAGGCCAAGGCAAGTGGATTGCCTGTGCCCACGGGTTCAAGACCAGCCTGGGCAACTTGGTGAGACCTTGTCTCTACAAAAAAATTAAAAAATTAATTGATTAATTTTATTAGTTCTGGCTACTTAGAAGACTGAGGTGGAAGGATCGCTGGAGCCCATTAAGTCGATGCTGGGGTGGCTGTGAGTGTGCCATTGTACTCCAGCCTATGCGACAGAGTGAGATTCCAACTCAAAAAAAAAAAAAACAGATTGCCTGAGAGTCATTAATAGCTGTTGAAATGCCAACCATTTCATTCAAGTTCTTGGCAGCAAGGAGGAGGAAAGGACACAGGGGAATGAGCATACCTGCTAACTTAGACCTTGAATAGCTTTCCTGGAATTCCTGTTCAATCTACTTTACTTCTGTATGTTGGCCACTCATATATATCTACAAGACTGGGAAATGCAGCTTTACAACTGAAATATTGCTGTTTCTGACTGAAGGGGTATAACTGTCAGGAAAAACGAGTGGACTATGGAGAAGCAGCTGTTAGTTTCTGATGCTTTGAGGAAGTATTTTTAAGGAATTCTTTGTAGGGTCCACACAATGTGAAATGCATGACTTGAGCAGTGGTTCTCAATTCTAAGGGATGCAGTACTCTCATTGTATATCACAAATTTTATAATGCCTGCTTTATGATCCTGAAATAAAATGTGTAGATCATATATTCTGCTTTCACCTATGATTTATATATGCTACAATGTAATTTAGAGATGAGGGAAAATTGATGTATGATAAAATTTGTTTCAGTCTATAAATGCATAAGTACATCTACACTAGGAAGAAAAAAATTAAGATATTCAGATGCTGGTCATATATATAAACCATTGTAAATATAGCAACTACAAATGTAGTCTAGTCATGTGGTAGCATGGTGACGCAAATTCTGAGAATGGTTTTATTGTGGTGAAAGATATTTTAAAAGGATAAGTAGATCTTGTAAAGTTTTAAAGAAAACCAAGTACTGTCTTTCCTTGATTAACATGATTATTGCGTTCCTGGAAAAGATCTGTGATATTAAAACTAGGCAAAGAAAACTATGTTGTGTTTACGTGTTAAATACAGCCTAGCTCAGATGATCCAAGTTTTGCTGTAATGATATATTTAGATGAGTTTTAAACTATGAAGCCTTCATAAGGAATAATCAGCACTTTCAACAAACGTCTCAAATTCAGGTATTAAAAAATAAACTTGTTATTCTGGCACAACTGCAGTTAGAAGAGCATTAAAGGAAGAGATCAGAAAATCCTTTAGGGTCAATTGCCACCAGTTTTCAGTTGTAGAGACTGTTGGGTCAGCCTGTCCCATTCACCCATTCCCTGCGTGCACTCTCTGTTCTGAGGGCTTCCTCTACACTGTGTTTGTGTCTGTTGAAAAGGCCCCTATTTCTCCTCCTCTAACTGGAAACCCAAGGAGATTTTCAGATGTTCAAGTATCTGAGCAGCAGGATCGTGGTGAGGAGACCTTATTTAAGACACCTGGTTCCTTATGTGCCTCATGCCTTTGTGTTGTCTGATCAGGTCATTTTAAAATCACATCTGGCATAATTACTCATAAATCTTAAGAATCACTTACAAATATGAAAAATATGTAATACTTTTCTTTCCACATTCCACTTTCATCTTTTCTTATTTCTTTGATTAACCTGAATGCTTTCATTTAATTGTAGCTTGAGGATTAACTACCATAATATAGCATTGAAATCTCTTCTTTTTTTAAATTCCAATTTTAAAATTTTTTATTTTATTGTATTTTAAAGATGGGTACAATTCAGGATTATATAGGTACACAACTGGACATCATACAGATAAAGTTTGGGCCTCCCTTAGGTCCCTACTTTGTGTGGTTTGAGATCAGGTACCCTTATTGATGTTGCCCCTCCCCCCCCCCAGCTCCAGTAGTATCCCACTACTGCCTATCTCTTTCTTATAGTATTGTGGTAAATGTTTAGGGTCCACTTAAGAGTGAGAACCTGTGGTCCTCTGTTCTTTGTTTCTGTGATAGATCACTGAGTATTATAGACTCTAAATCCATCCAAGTTGCTGCAAAGTCCATATGTTTGTCCTTCTTTATGGCTATGTAATAGTCCATTGTGTATATACACTTTTTAAAATTCCAGTCCTGTTTCTATAGGCAGCTTGGTTGGTTCCATGTTTTTGCTGTTGTGCATAGTGCTGCAGTAAACATGCATGTGCAGGTATCTTTTTTGTAGAATGATTTGAGTTCCTCTGGGTATATTCCCAGTAGCGGGATTCTTGGAAGGTCATATGGAAGGTCAATTTCTAGTTCTTTTAGAAATCGCCACACTGTTTTCCATAGAGGTTGAACTAGTTTGCATTCCAGCAGTGTAGAAGCATTCCCTTTTCTCCGCATCCTCACCAGCAACTGTTGTTTGTTTTATTAATTATGGCCATTCATCCTGGGGCTAGGTGGTATCTCAGTGTGGTTTTCGATTTGCATTTCTCTGATGATTAGTGAGGCTGAGCACCTTTTCATGTATCTGTTGGCTGTTCGTATATCTTCTTTTGAGAGGTGTCTACTCATGTCTTTTGCCCACTTTTTAATGGAGCTGTTTGTTTTTATACTTCTGAAATGTTTGAATTCCTTATAGGTTCTTGATGTTAGGCCTTTGCCAGATATACACTTGACAAATATTTTTTCCCATTCTGTGACCTGTCTCCTCACTCTCTTGATGGTTTCTTTTATTTTGCAAAAGCTTTTCAGTTTAATGAGGTTCCACTTGTCTGTCTTATCTCTTATGGTATAGGCATCTGGGGTTTTGATCAGGAATTGGTTGCCTACTCCAATTTCTGTAAGGGTGTCTCCTGCATTTTCTAAGATTCTTATAGTTTGAGATTTTATGTTTAGGTCTTTGATCCATTTAGAGTTGGCTTTTGTGTATGATGATAGGCAAGGGTCCTGTCTCAATGTTCTGCATATGATCAGCCAGTTTTTCCAGCACCATTTACTGAATAGGTTCTCCTCTCCCCAGTGGTTGTTGTTGGAGGTTTTGTCAAAGATGAGTTGGTTGAGAAATTGAGGTTTTGCTTCTGGAATCTTTATCCTGTTCCATTGGTCCATATGCCTGTTCTTATACCAATACCAGGCTGTTGTGATTACTGTAGCCTTATAGTAAAGTTTGAAGTCTGGAAGTGTGATACTTCCTGCTTTGTTTTTTGTTTTTTTGGTTGGTTTTTGTTGTTGTTGTTTTTGCTAAGGATTGTTCTGGCTGTTTGAGGTCATTTATGTTTCCATATGAATTTCTGTATTGTCATTTCCAGTTCTGAGGAGAATGATGTTGGTAATTTAATGGGTATTGCATTATATCTGTAGATGGCCTTTGGTAGGATGGGCATCTTAACAATGTTGGTTCTTCCTATCCATGAACTTGGAATATTTTTGCATTTGTTTGTGTTGTCTTGGATTTCTTTGAGCAATGTTTTGTAGTTTTCATTGTAAAGGTCTTTCACTTCTCTGGTTAGGAAGATGCTGTGGTATTTCTTTTCTGTGTGTATGTGGCTATTGTGAATGGGATTGTGCTTTTTATTTGGTTCTCTGCCTGTTTGTTGTTGGTTTATAAAAATGCGACTGTCTTTTACACATTTATTTTGTATCCCAAGACGTTGCCAAAGTCCTTTATCAGTGCAAGGTGATTTTTGACAGATTCTCTTGGATTTTTGAGGTATAGGATCATATCGTCAGCAAAGAGGGATAATTTATCTTCTTCTTTTCCTATTTGGATACCTCTGATTTTCTTCTTTTGTCTAATTGCTCTAACTAGGACTTCCAACACAATGTTGAACAAGAAGGGCGAGAGTGGGCAGTCTCGTCTTGTTCTGGTTTTCAGGGGAAATGCTTCCAGTTTCTGTCCATTTAGCAACATGCTGTCTGTGGGTTTATCGTAGATGGTGCTTAATATTTTGAAGTATGCTTCGTCTATGCTTAGCTGTTTGAGGGTTTTTATCAAGAAGGGATGCTGAATTTTATTAAAAACTTTCTTCTGCATCTAATGATATAATCATGGGGTCCTTGTTTTTATATCTGTCGTTGTATTTAATTATATTTATGGTTTTGTGGATGTTGAACCAGCTCTGCATCCCAGGGATGAAGCCTACTTGGTCCAGGTGGATGATTTTTGAGATGTGTTGTTGGTTCCAATTTGCTAGAATCTTGTTGATAATTTTTGCTTCTATGTTCATAAGGGATATTGGCTGGTAGTTCTCTTTTTTTTGTTGAATCTTTACCCGGTTTGGGTATTAGTGTGGAAATCTCTTCTTTAAAATGATGGCATTTTAATTAAAATTACTTTTTAAAGTTAATGTATCAAATATAATGACATTTAAAATTTTCTTTTTGTGAAGTAAAATTGCTGATCCAGCTAAGCTGGAAAGTTAAAGTACATATTCTTTGCCTAGTGCTAGAGGATTGATCTTTTTAAGTGAGGTTTTAAGATTCATGCTTCTTAGCAGTGTTGTTTTAGTCCAACATATTGCAAGAGAAAATTATTACTTTCAAATTTTTATTAGCAGGTATCTCAGCAATACAGTTTTTGTTAGCTGATTTATGTCATGTAAGGCAAATATTATGTTTATTCATTTATAATATGATATATTACAGTGTTTTATGATAATAAATGTCCTTTTATTTAGCTCATTGTTTTATAGTATTTGGTTTTGTGATGTCATTGAATAACTGATCAATTGCTTTAACTCTTATTTTATTCTAGATAAAATATGGCTTTGAGTAAAACTATGGTGGGATTGTGTGTGAATGTGTGAGTATGTATGTATGTGCACATGTGTGTGCCCATGTGTGCACACACAGACATCCTAGGAGAACATCTGCAGTGCAGCCCAGGCGAAGCCTCACATCTTGAAGAATCGCTTATTTATTTTGTGGGCAGGTGAGCCAAGATGGTAAGTCGCTCCTTGACAAGCTCCAGCGGCCCTTGACTCCGGGCAGCTCTGATTCCCTGACGGCCTCTGCCAACTACTCCAAGGCTGTGCACCACGTTCTGGATGTCATCCACGAGGTGCTGCACCACCAGCGGCAGCTTGAGAACATCTGGCAGCACCGCAAGGTCCGGCTCCACCAGAGGCTGCAGCTGTGTGTTTTCCAGCAGGACGTTCAGCAGGTTGGTTTCACAGCACACTCTTCTGCATGGGGAATTATAATTAGTTATCGCGTAATGAAAAGTAGACTTTTCTGACAACTCATTTCTAAGCAGTTGATATCTTCTTTGTTTTAGTTATTGTTATAAAAATAAGAGTAAGTCTTATACCGTCTGTTTACTTCCTTATTGTAGAATAAGAGTTTTCAGGCTTAAAGCTGTAGCAGTATATAAAATATGATACAGTGGTAATGATAAATAAGATAATAGTCATATCCTTGCCCCAAAATAGAGGGAAAGACAAGGAAATGAACTAGGTGTCACCTCTGGGTATGAGGAATTCTGGGTTTGCAGGGAAGCCCATGACCTCCAGGAAGTTGGCCTAGTGCCACAGTGACAGACCTGCAGGAGAACCACTGTCTTCTCCCTGGGCAGCCAAGAGCCCGCGTGCGTTGTTCAGGCATGTAGGACCTCAGGTTTCCATCTCCTTGAATGTTATCTGAAGGTGAGTGAGTTTTCTGCTGAATGGGCTGGGATTTGGGAGAATTGTCTTGTGTTCTGATGAACTCGAGATTCCCTGTATGTCATTGACCATCATTCTTCACACAGTGTGGGTGGTGAGTTCAAAATATTTTTAATGGTCCTGTAATTTTTAGTTTTCACATGCTGTGCTTTGATTCCAATTTTAGTTTTTGAGTTCTCTAAAGGTAACGTATACAAAGTGCCTTAACAGTGATCATTTTGCTATAATTCATGCTACTTAGCAGTGTTGTTTTAGTCCAAGAAGATAATTGCCAGCGAAAGATCATAGTGCACAGAAGAGGGTGGGACCTGCAGCAAGGAGTAAGTGAGAAAACAGACATCAGAAGATTGAAATTAAGGATACTTGGTGTTTAATTGTCCAGAAACTTTCACAAACCATGAAAGGTTAACAATTTAGATATAATTGCTGAAGGATTCCCATCCCTGTACCTTGGATCAATTATAATCCCATGCCTAGGGACTGACGCACTTTCTAAAAAGCGGACTTATTGCCCCACCTGAGGGACCAGCGGCAGGGGCACGCCTGTCCTTCTTCCCCCAGTTCCCACTGGATTGTTTAGGAGAGGGGAAGCATAAGGAAAGGATGCCTTGGGAATTGACTGAGGGGTCTGGCCACCCAATTTGGCACCAAGTACTTTATAAGCTTGAATTTGAAAACAGCAAACATTATGTAGAAAGGTAAATGAAATCAGTTCTTGAAGCTGGCTTTTATTTATTTATTTTTTTAAGAACAAGAAGTTAGGTGGATGTTAACCAGATAAAGTGTTTTGTAATACAAATAACACATACATGGTCCTATTAGCATTTCATAGAAAATAGATATTGCTCATTAAGGGAACCATTTTTGTTGATTAATGATCTAGAATAGTTTGGACTTGTTATGAGAACAGGAAATTGCTATGTAGACTTGATTTGTAAAGCAAAGAGCAGAGTTGATAAGATTAATCAAAGCAAGCAACTTTGACAATAGAATATCAAAACAAAAAAAAGGTAGTGTTTTACAAAGATCTTATCAGCAGAAAATAAATTTGTAAAGACAAAAATATTCTGAATCCACAAGAACATAATAAGCCAATTAGATATACTATAAATGGTTTATGTTTGGTTGTTTTGGATGATGAGAAAGCATTTGTAAATATTATTGAGAAAAAAGAGCAACTTGCTGAACAATAAATATGGAATGGTTATAGTTTTATGAAAACAACCCTCCAAAAGAGTATACACCTATCTGTTGAAAAATACTTGAAAAAACAACAGTGGAACAGAACTGGAGAGGGAACAGTGTGGGGAGTATGATTAGTAAAATATGGTTAACTTTGGCTTAGTGGTTTTTGGGGGTTTTTTTTCCTCATAAGAAGCAGAGATCATAACTTCTGAATAGAAGGTGTTTTGGTGGTAGTTGGGGCATGGTATTAAGAGAGGTGGGAGATGCTGCTTTTGAATAGTACTAACCCAGTGTCTAAATTAAAGCCTGGCTGGGCTGGAGTGGGAATACCTGCTAAGGACTTCCCCAGATACACATGTTGGCTGCCTGCACCATGGTTAACTTAAAAATAAAATTAAAACTCTGTTACATTTCCTGATGGTGAAATAATACATACCTCTCCATTGCCTTATGTTTATTATTAAATGAGTAGTGAAGGTTTGGTTGAATGAATGAATGAAGAACTGTGTTACTGCTAAGCGGTGTTTTCTAGTTTTGAGTGTGCTTTAGTTTTCTCTAAGAAGATGAATTGCCAGAAATGTGTTTTTGATGTACTTGTTCAGGTAAGTAATACTTGTGGAAGTGGTCCCAAGAGGTTGCCATCAGACTTGTTTCTCTACCTCACCCTCTCAGATGTCTTAGTCTCCTTGTTTGTTGAGATTTAGTTTCTCCATCATGTCAGGAGAGTGAATGGCTCCATATATCCACCTTTCTGCAGCAGGCTGACTCTCATGAAAGAAGCCCCTCAGGCAGAGAGATCTTCTTCTACAAAAGCCCCCATGTTCCCCAGCAGTCCTCTGTGTGTGAACATCATCCCCATGGAATTCTTTCTGGAAGGACTCCCTCCAAGTTGATGTTGGACCATTAACTAATATTCTTTAAAAATGTTGAAGCACATCTAGTCCACTTTTCTTATCCACACTTCATTCATTTTTTAAAAATATTTTAATTGAATGTGTGATGCTCCAAGGGATCCAGAGGTAAATATGTTGAACAACTCCAAGTTCCTTTCTCAAGGAATTTGTGATCTGGTAAGAGTAGATTTTTATTTTCTTAAGATGTGGGGTACAATTCAGATATTTTTTTTAAAGCAGATAGTTGAGTAATCATTTGACCATGGCATGCTCAGATGTAGCACTTCTGTCTTTGGTTGTTGTCAGGTGTAATTTGCTAAGATGTAGATTTGAATCCTGCCTGACAAGGTACTGGGGTGGGGAGTTATAAATGCAACTAGCCACCTCTTCTGTACTATCTGCCTCTAAATGCATATGCATATGCCTTTAGAGGTCGCATATCTATGCTTTAGTGATTTGTACAAATTTGGGCGTTTCTGGGAATTTTGTTTGTGTTCTTCTCAAATATCAAGGGCCTCGTATGCAACAAAAAATGAAAAGTATCACAATAGAGGTGCAAGTAGCCGTTGTCATACTGAGGATACCAGAAAGGTCTTTGTGGAAGAGGTGGAGTTCAGACTGCTCTTTGAAGGTCAGTAAGTTGAGGAGCAGGTAGTGGGAACTGCAGCCAGAGTAGGACAGAAGAGGGCAAGGCCTGTCCAGGGAGTAGCAGATGCCCAGTGGATGGAATGGAGGGGTGTGGAGGGTTGAGGTGGGGCTGGTGCTGGCAAAGGAACATGGGGCCCGTCATGGAAAATGTGGCCCCCACAATGAAAGTTTGACACTTGTTTCTGTATGCATTGAGCCACCACTGAAGGGACGCAGGCTCACCTGCACTGAATGCCAGCACATGGGGCCAGGCCACATGTAATATCTGAAGGGCACCAAACTCCTCTTGTGTTGTGGATACTCACTGTCTTGTATACATCTTCCCTCTTTTCATGCTCACAGCCTGCCTAGTGAGGATTAGCGCTTTCCGCTTTTCACCATTTTGGGCACAAACTCTGAAGGGCCTCCTAGGCTGTACATTTTGACTTGATGCTGTAGGCAGGGGGAGGTAGATGGAATGAATGGATTGAAGAAACGAGCCTAAAGGCCAGGATGCATATGCAAGTTTTGGGTGAGTCTTAGAGAGCAGGAATGTGAACCATCCACTGGTGTCATTTACTCTTGTTTCTCAAGTGCCTGGAATAGCTGATGTTCAGTATTTGATGAATGAATGAGTAGATGAAGAAATTTAAGGAATTCCTCAGATCTGCTAATTAAAGATTGTTTGGGGTTAAAAGTTTTTTCATTTATTCTGAAATGGTGGAGGATTGGTCTTATATCAGGGAGATCTTCCTGAAGGAATGGAACTTTTGATAGATGTTAGCAAATTAGGAGTGTCTGGGGGAGGAAGGAAGGGATAACATCAGTGCATAGGAATTTTGGAAGTGTGGTGAGATCGCTAGTAAAGATTTTGGTCATTTGAATGCAAAGCTGAGAGTCTTTAATGTTGAATTCTAGGTTTCAGGTCTATAGAGAAGCCATTTCTCACTGATTTACCTTGGGTCCCAGACTGGTCCTCTAGTCTGCAGGAGCCATTTCTGTGCGAAGCTTGACCCAGGAATTCTAGGTTAACACCACCCACACGAGCCCTAGCTTTAAGTGAAGTTTGAGTTCTTGAACTCCCTTGTCCTTTGTTCATTAATTTAAGGCAGGAGGGAGTTTTTCTCATCCCACTCATTAGAATCATTATGTAGCCCGAGTTATTTAACGTTGTGTTCTGTTTACGTTCCCACACTCGTAGTTTTGATTGTGCGTCATGATAAGAATGGCTATGGGAGTGCCATCTTTTCTAAGAGTTCTCAGAATTGAGGAGTACTGGATGGGGACATGGGTGCAGATAGAGGCCGGCTGCTAATCTCCCTGGTAGAGTTGGAGCCAGCTCTCAGTTACTTTCTGTAGTGAGCACAGAAGAAAATGGACTGGAATCTCGTAATCTTAGCAACCACAGCTCATAAGGAGCTACAGAGTTAATTGGTGGGAGGACAGAGTGGGAAAAGGGACATTTCCCTCCCACATCCCCAAAGGGGATATAATACAAGAATGCAGGATGTGTGAGTTGGCACATGAACCAGTATGACAGGACACAGGGAACCCATAGGACTAGGGTAAATCAGAAGTGAGCAGGGAGCAGAGGCCAGCAGGCCTTTAGAAAAGGCCACAGGCTCAGGAGCCAGGATGGTCAGAGCCATGATGATCAGGAGTGGGCAGAGCCAAGAGCCCAGGGAGCTTGGGCCTCTTTTGACTGAGTGGTAGCCACAGTGCCAGGGTCCCTAGGATATCAATACCTGTGGGTATTAAATAGACAGGAAAGAGTACATACATGCATGCATATGTGC